ATATTGTGTGTGTGTGTGTGTGTGTTGTCATAGTGTGTGTGTGTGTGTGTGTGTGTGTGTGTGTTGTCATATTGTGTGTGTTTTGATGTGTGTGCTTTAATGCACCCATGGCAAGTTTTACTATGCCAGGTATGATCTCCGATGACAGGTCATCGGCACACCTCTAGCTTAGGTAATATTCGCAAGTATGGTAGACATTATCTWTTGTGGCGAAAAAAGGCATCTACTCGAGTTTCTGAGTAATATCGCGTCTTCATGAAAACACAGCCGCTTGTTCATCATACAACAATTGCAACCAGTATCCGTCCAAACAAGGTAGCCATTAGTCGTTTGAGATTCAACTTTTTGGGGGGGTTGATTGTAATATTCGAAGAGTGGGCGAAGGTGGGCTAGTGCCAATCCTTCAGTGGTGGGTGAGGTAATCCATATCGATTCCGGTGCAGATAACTTGATCTCCAAACAAACGAAAGTGAAGTATGATGGGTCACGAGTGCGTCCTCCCAGTTCCTTCCCAGCATCATGGTGTGGGGGATCGTCTAGATCCTCCGCTACATGCGTTCTCAAGTCAGGGACTAGGAGAGTAGTGCCTGCCTAAATAGAAACAGATGGTGACTGTGCATGGAAAACAAATCGGAGGGTGATAGCCCTGAATCTCGGTGGTTTACTCAGATCTAGGGTCACCCGTTCTCTCAGTTGCTATCGTGAGTTATCGTGGATTGTAAGAGCCAAGGTTTGATCAGTCCTTACTTTTTCGAGGACTCGTTCTCAGAAGAGTGTCTCAAGAAGGTGTCATAGATCAGGGGTCTGGTCGCGTTTATCTCGCCAAACCAATCCTATAGCATGGGTTACGGGTTGACTCCAAGCTACTAGGATCATAAATAATCGTTATCCGTATTTTCCACGGAGTTCGGACCAATCTTGCTTATGGTGGTGGTACGAAAGAAATAGTCAAGAATTCAGCAATTGTCGCGGAGCTTCTCGCTTATACTAGTGTTCCAGAGAATCGAGATCGCTGTCACTTGCCGATCGTAGAGAAGTATATCCGTCTGGGTAGTCTCAGCCTCTCATACACGTCCGAATGGGGAATTTTTCTTTCGTACTTGCTAATCCAATCCAAAAAATATATATGCCCATCTAGGAACCCTTAATCTTCACCTAAAAAACAGTTAGTGCCGAGGGTGCAGGAATCCCATGAAACCACAAAAAAAGGGATGGGGTATAAGCCAGATGCCTGCTGCGCGTTCATAGTGTTTAGATCATGCACAATTTTTCCAAAACTCACCAGGATCCCTATGTAGGGTAGCAAGGAATCAACCCTACTCATTAGGTATGGCAAGAGGATTCCTTGCCACTTCGCATCATAAGGTCCTGGATCTTGGGCAAAAAAAAACAATTTGCGAATCGAAAAAACTCAAGATATCCTATCGCACAGGAAGTAGCGTAGAAAATAGCCATCCTACGAGGCTATACACGTAGACATTCAGACGCTCGTATTGCGAAGTTCAGATTATACATACAAATCCAGATTCGCACCGGCTCCGGATGCAATGTCGCAAGGAATCATCCACCGTCTACTGGGGGAGTTAAGCGGGTCACTGCCTGCTACATCGCTGGCAAAACCACGGGGTGCGGGTTACATGCCCATAAACTTCAAAGTGCAGAAAGAATACGAATACACTTCATATGCATTAAAACAGGAGATCGTCCAAGCCTGTCACAAACCAATCACACCCAGCGCTTGGAGAATCATTGATCTACGAGGCTATACATTACAGTAAGATATCCAGTCGCACAAGAAGCAGTGTAAAAAATGGCCACCCTCCGGGGTTATACAAGGTGGTAATGTAGACATCCAGATGCTTATTGCGAAGTCCGAAAAAAAACAAATTCCCACAGGTTCCGGGTGCCATGCAGCAAGGAATCATCCATCACCTGTTGGGTGAGTTAAGAGGATCACTGCTTGCTACATCGCTCGTAAATCCCCGGGGCCTGGGTTATACGCTTACAAACTCATTTCGCAGAACAGAATATGAATCCCATTGCATCCAATGTCTAAAAACGATTATCCAAATCTGCCGCAAAATAATCACACCAGGCGTTGGAGAACATTTGATCCATACAGAAATAGAGAGCTGTTTACAAAAAAAAAAATCTCGGAGTGTCGAAATTATCAATCATACTCCAGTTGAATCTCAAGCCGACGAACAGCAAGGGGGTTGGTGAGGCGAGCGGGAGAGAGGGAATGGGGAGAGAGAAAGAAAGAGAGAGAGATATCCTGCACCATGCAGCTAAAAGATCCTGTTACCGCTCAAGGCGAGAGGACCAACAAGCAGATCCACAGGAGGGAGTGGCACTTCCCTGAGGCCTTTCTGCTGCATGCCACGTGCGGCTTCATCAGAGGGAGGACCCTTCCTT